ACGAAAGGACTTCAATTGGAAAGAAATTGAAAGTCAAGAGACGTAAAATGTCCAAATTAAAAGTCGATGACTAATTTTGGAAAATCAATATAGTCGAAGGATCATTGGAATTAACTCTTTTAGAAAAGTAGGTATTACAGGGGGTATTGGAACATCAACGCACAGCTAAGCAAAGGGATGACCTGCATTAACCAAAGGGCACTAGTGTAACTTCATTAGATGAGAATTAGTTATAACCGTCTCATCCTTCTTCCCTTTGTATATAAGCATTGCTTCTTCTGTTCCCTGACTGTAACAGAGAGATATACACTTCCATCAATAATATCCTTTTCTTCTCTTCACCCTCATGTAACGTACATCCATCATAGATGAGGACGATGGCGGAAACGGGGGTGCATTCCCCGATAGTGAATAAAATGTAGGGCGGATACCAACATCTATCAGGATGCATAGGAAAGCCGAAAGCATGCCAAACAAAGAAAAGGGACATAGGGGAGAGTGGGAGACCGTTTGTTGTGGATAAAAACGCACCCTCACAAGCCATTTTTATGTTTTACCTTTATTTTTAAAATGAAATATGCACCTAGTATCAATACATAGAATATGTACTTTGTTATATGGTATATATACGGTCAAACATTGAATCCCTATATAAATATAAAACCTAACCCTACATTACTACAGAAATCACTTACAACGTCAAAGGTATAATGTCAAATTTCTACAAAACCGACGTTAAAAAATTAAAATAAGTTACAATTTTTTTTTAAAAAAAACATATAATGTTGATTTTTTTTTTTCAAAAAATTGACGTTATATGTCTTTAAAAATAAATTTAAAAAAAAAAACTATATGACGTCGGTTACGACGTCGTATGGGAGATAAAAAAAATATTTTTTACACGATACGACGTTGGTTGTGTGCATAACCGACGTCGTATCGTTCCTTCTTAAAAGCTTACTGACTGAACCAATAACGCCTCCACTGAGGCTCAAACTCACAACCTCCTATATGGGAGTTCAACCCGGGTGTCATTTGAGCACAAGGTGCTTGACATATATTATATTCACTTATACTAATAAATTACTTATTTGTAGTGTGCATTGAATGCTGATGACGGTTTGTCCTCAATTATATGAATTTTTTTGGTTTGATTCAATTGTTCACAAGCCATGTGATGACATTAAAGAGATAATAGAAACATATGCAAATTTATTAATAATTAATAATTATTGATATAGTGATATCAAGAACTTACATATATTTTATTGTCTTATATTAATAGGTGCGTTAGTGTCACAAAGCATGTTGATTGGAAGGAAACCAAGTCGTGCACCAAAATGGAGATGTTTGGTAAGTATTTCATACATTTTGTAAAACTACATTTATCTTATTATTTTTTTTATATATAAAAGAAATATTAATTGTATTGTAAGTCAAATGTAGTGTGTCGTACAAAGAGGAACTACCGAATGTGGCTATTATGTGATGAAATTCATGTTGGAAATTGTTTCTGACCAACACTACAACAGAGGAATGAATACGGCAAGTAATTTAATAAAATATATTTCTCCTTCAAATTTTTAAAAATAGTAGCTTATTTATTAAGTATCTCTTTTCAACTTTGTAGAATTTTGAGAGACAAAGAAGATTGCCCTATAATCAACAAGAGATTGATGAAGTTAGAGACGTATGGTATAAGTATCTTATTATGAATGGGTTAAAAGTTAAAACAATTCTTGATGTTTAACTTGTTTAGTTGATGATGGTCTAAGTTGGTTATTGAGATTAATTGTGATATTTTTTAGTTTGATCAATTGTGATATTTTAACGCCAAATTACTGGAAAAGTTCTGAAAATTGATGTGAATTGTAAAATTGTACAAGTTTGAGTGGAAAATCATAAAATATATTTAATAAATAAAAACAACAACAAACGATTCGTATGATAAATTTTAAAAAAATAAAAACATAAACGACGTCGATTTTTTTAAAAAAAAATCGACGTCGTTTATTTATATAAAAAAAATTAACATATGTGTATGATCATTTTTAAAAAAATTATACGACGTCGATTTTTACTAAAAACTGACGTCATTTCGTAATTAAAAAAAAATATATACGAGTATACGACGTTGGTTTTTTTTTTTAATTATATTATATTCCTTTAATAATAACTTGCAAGGTGGACCCAGGTCTAGAACGACGTCATTTTGCTTCAAAACGGCGCGTTTTGCTTCAAAACGACGCCGTCTAAATTTTTTTAAAAAAAATACTTCATTGTCGTTTTGTCTTCACAATTTTTGAACTCTATATTCACAATTTTAGAACTAAGTATTCACAATTTTAGATCTCAATATACAAAATTACAGAACTCAATATTCACAATGCCGGAGTTGCATAATAAAATATTTTCATTAAGCAAAGTTAGCAATTAAGCAAAGTCGAAGCAAATATTTGGACAGTGTTTTCTTGCACTATCCTTTCTAATTTTGCTAACTTTGCTTAATGAAATAAAATATTTTATTATGCAACTCCAGCATTGTTTCGACTTAGGTCAAATGCTTAGTTTTTTTTTGTTTTTTTTTTAAAGGTCAAAAATGCTTAGTAGGACAATAATAATAAAAAAAAATTAAAATTAAAATATACACATGGCATCCTAATCAGTAAAAACTTGTTGGTGACCTGCTAAAAATGTTAACTATATATTTTTTTCAAATTCGTGGATCGATTTGGAGCTTATTTGAGTTCGATGGCTTAATTGCTATTCCCAAATAGTTCAATGCCTATTTGTACATTTTCCCATTAAAGAACTCTATATTCAACCGTATAACACAATTTTTAAATTTATATTTACAACTAGTTTTTTACACGCATTGCGCGATTGGGATAATGCCTAATGTTTTTTTTTTTAAATAAGTACTTTAAAATATATCAAGGCAAGATTATATTGGAATTGTTCATGCATAGATAATTGAATGTTAAATTTGTGTATTTAAATAGGCAATTCTAAGTTTACAAATGCAAAATAAATATAGTCAAGATTGATTATAATTGTCAATGAAATAATTCTATAGGTATGGTTGAAACCAAATACGGGACATAAGGAGAGAAAATAAAGGGCATAAAATATTAAATATATACTAATATTGAAGAGCTAACTCCTGATTGCCAAACAAGGACATTGCGAGATAGTTTCCACTTCAATTTGTTGTGTGATTTGAATAATCTTTTTGTCAATAAATCCCCAAAGTAGTTAATATGATTGGTTTAATTATATTTTTTTTATTTTTTTTTATTTTTTAAAAACAATTATTATTATATATATTTTTAATTTTTTCATCGTATTAATAAAATACTTGGTAAATAAATATATAGCACTATTTTGTATTATAACTTTGATATTTAATTAAAAAAATAGTGCACAAAAAAGATAATAGACAATGTAGTGAATATAATCAATTGATGAATTTGTACATTTGAGAAATATAAAGACAATATAACTAATAAAATTATTTCTCCTAACTAATTTATTGATAATGAATAATTTTTTTTTAATAAAGACATTGTAGGGACAATGTAGCGAATATAATCAATTGATGAATTTGAATGTAAAGAATTTTTATATTGGAGAAAAATAAATACAATATAACTAATGGAATTATTTTTCTTATTTAATTTATTGATAATGAATAATTTTTTTGAATAAAGACATTGTAAACACATAATTCTAAAATAAAGAAATGCACATGTATTATTTTTTGTTGTAGCTACTAAATTATTATTTAATAATTTAATAAGAGTAAAATAGAGTACTAATTATGCCAACTTTGATTGGGATGGGGTTCAAACATAAGACCTTTCTTATTGAATTCAATGAGTAAGTTAACGGTGAACTAACAAGAAATTAACGGAAAAAATAATATTTAACGGAAAAGTTAACGGAAAATCATATTCATTAAGGATAAATTAGGAAATCTTAAGGAAAAATTAAAATCTGATCAATCTTAGCCATTCATTTAATTAAAAAATTTGACCGCCATTTTTCTACCCATTGTAGGACTAACTCTCTTGGCATCTTATTAGTATAGTAGATTTTTGAACTCTATATTCACAAGAAAAAAATATCATTAGACCAAGTTGCATCTTTTTGGACTCGAATCCACCTTGCAAGGTGGACCTGGTCCATGAAATAACAATTGCCCAAATTATGCCCTGGAAACGTGTTCACCGTGAATGGTGAACACAAGTCCAAACGACGTCGTTTTTACGCAAAAAAAAAAAAAATAATAAAAATAAAAAATAAAATAAAAATTCGTGGATGTGGAGTTAACGGCGCGCGTTTGATCAAATTATGAATTTTCTGTTATGAGATTATGAATGTAATGTAAATTCATAATCTCATAACAGAAAATTCATAATCGCATAAAAGTAAAATATTTATTAAATTATGAATTTTCTGTTATGAGATTATGAATTTTCTGTTATGAGATTATGAATGTAATGTAGATTCATAATCTCATAACAGAAAATTCATAATTTCATAACAGAAAATTCGTAATCTCATAACAGAAAATTTATAATCTCATAATTGAAAATTCATAATCTTATAACAGAAAATTCATAATCTCATGGTTCCAAAGTGAATGTGTAGGCATGGTTCCAAAGTGAATGTGCAGGCATGGATTCATAATTTATGAATGTCCGTGATTTCGGACGGGAATGTGTAGGCATGGTTCCAAAGTGAATGTGCAGGCATGAATTCATAATTTATGAATATCCAAAATCATTGCTCACCTCAAATTAAAGTGAAACTACGAAATATGAAAATGAAGAAGAAAAGTCATGTAATTAAAAAAAAAAAAAAAAAAAAAAAAAAAAAAAAAAAAAAGATAACGGTGTACTAACACCGTTGGAACGGTGTTCACCATGAATAGTGAACACGGTTCCATGACATAACGATTGTAACAATTGCCCTTCGGCCTCCACAACCCGCGAATGCCCAAACCAAACATCAGAGATTCAGAGGGCAGAGGCAACAGAGGTAAGGGTTTCTTACTTTCTTTCACTTTTCCCCCAATCACTTTTTTCTTCCCAACTCTTCCCAATCTCCTTTTATTTACGAAACCTTGCAGATTCTCCCAACGATTTTGGGTTTTGATTTCGACTGACGCCTCATTTGTTGTTTCAGTTTAATGGCTCAATGTCCGCGAATCGAAACCGTACGGGATACAAGTAGGGATCTAATAAGTCATCTGCCGGTAGAGGTAAAGGACAGAATTTTGGAGTGTTTGCCCACCCGAGATGCTGCCAGAACTGCTGTGCTCGCAACCCATTGGAATGATGTTTGGTTGCAGCATGGGTTTGATTTGAACTTCTTCCGGGGTTTAGGAGAATGCAAAGGTTATAGTCTCGTATCTTAAGTTAAAATAATAACATACATTCTCTTGCAGCGTGTGAAGGGATCAATAATTTTAAGATTAGTGCTCCAAAACTTGAGAGCTTGTCTATTACTTGTATATGTGCGGTTGAATCGAGATGGTTTGCACTTCATTTGAAAACAAAAGGTTCTTCGCATTGAGGGCATCTTGTTGTTGGTGAGAATCTATCTTCCTTTGTATATGTACTATAGTATTGATAGATTAAATATTCTTTTACTTCTCTGGTTTGTTAAGAGTTTTTTTCAAGTCTCATATAATCTTTTGTTTTTGTTAAAGAATTGGGAAGATGTTGAAGTAACCTCCTTCCCAACTGCAATAAATCTGCAAGTAATCAAATTGCATTTTTTAAAGTTTTCCAATGAAAAGCAGCTCATGGGTGTTTTGCAATTCCTTCAAAAATCTCCCAACCTATGTGAACTCGGCATTACAGGAGTAAGTTTTGTGAGACAGAAATTAAACCTTTATAGAGTATATACTTACCCGTCGTGATTTTTTGATTTCTTTATTTCGTCATGGTTAGTTGTACATGTTTTTTATTTTATTTGTTGTTGAGTTGTAGACATGTTTAGAAGATGAACACGTGGAAGATGATGGCATAGAAGTTGCTTCAAGACTTTTGAAGGATCTAAAAATGCTTAAAACAATCAACATTAAAATGTTTTGTGGATCCCCAATTAAAATGCTTTTTGTGAAAATGCTGCTCTCAAAATCCCCTATACTAGAGAGAGTAAATATTAAGAAATCTTGTTGTATAAAAGATGGCTGCACGGTGATCAAGTTCCTAAGGGAGTTGCTGTGCTTCCCTCGGGCATCTCCAAAAGCAAAAATTGTCATCAAGGGCAAAGACTATGCTTAAAGATTGGTTGGTTTAACCATATGATGAAGCTCCATGGGTTCAGTTGTGATGTAAAGGATGCACCTTGTTTCCTATGTTGTTCAGTAAGTGTAATGTTAGTAAAGTATTTTGAATCCGGTAGCAGTAGACTCTAAGAATGTTTTTTTTGCTAATACTAGTATTTTCACCTGTGCGATGCACGGAATGAAATTGTTGTAATATATTAAGAATATTTAAATCAATATATAATTATTTAAGAGTTAATTTCACCAGAGGTCGCTTATCTTTCCTGACAATTCCAAATTGAATCCTAAACTATAGTTATTAATTATTATGATTTATTCTATGTTATAATTCTTACGTTAATATTCTTGCTATTATTATTAACACATAATTACTTTTAGATATTATTATTTCCACTTATATTATTATTATTATATTATTATTATTATTAGTTTCTTTTCAAAATCTGTTAGTATATAATGGCCGTGAGGCACAATAATAATATAACCATAATTAAATATTATTGTATTGTATTCCGTGAGTCACAATAATAATTTTAAATATTCTTCAATTCGATATTCTTCTAGGCTTTCTATTACCTTCATTAATTATTCCCTAATTTACCATAATTAAATAATTTGACCAATTATAAAGAAAGATTATTAAATAATGCACGGGACAATTATTTAATTAAAAATTTTAAAAATTCATTAATAAAACATAAGGTTCTCATAGTTTTTTCATAGAAACTATTTAATAAAGCATTTTTTAGAAATTGGTGGACCAAACCGCCTACGGCTGTTTGCGGTGGATAGATCTCGAAAAAATACGTGATTTCAAATTTTTTTTTTTTATCTAAAACGGACAACCGAGTCAAAAGTTATGCCTTGCCAAACTTTTGACACTTTTCAACTTAAAAAAAAAAAAAATAAATAAAATAATCGCCGGTTCAGCTGGCGAACCGGCCACGGAGGAGGCCGATTCCGGCCTTCCTCGCCGCGGCAAGCGGCGCGATTTTTGCAACACTGATATATAGTATAGTATAGATTAGAATAGGAATTGTATTACACTATTTTATTTATAATATTAGAATAGAATTTTAACGCAGAATTATTGTACGAATGGGAAAGTAGAAATCAATATATTTTATTGGGAAGAGAGATTTTTTAGGAATTGGGCAGGAAGTTAAAATTCCAGGATTTTGTTTTTATATATCGTATAGATTAGAATATGAATTGTATTACACTATTTTATTTATAATATTAGAATAGAATTTTAACGCAGAATTATTGTATGAATGGGAAAGTAGAAATCAATATATTTTATTGGGAAGAGAGATTTTTTAGGAATTGGGCGGGAAAAGTTAAAATTCCAGGATTTTGTTTTTATATATAGTATAGATTAGAATAGGATTTGTATTAAACTATTTTATTTATAATAATAGAATATAATTTTAACGCAGAATTATTGTACGAATAGAAAGTAGAAATCAATATATTTTTTTGGGAAGAGAGATTTTTTAGGAATTGGGAAGGAAAAATTAAAATTTCAGGATTTTGTTTTTATATATAGTATAGATTATAATAGGAATTGTATTACACTATTTTATTTATAATATTAGAATAGAATTTTAACACAGAATTATTGTACGAATGGGAAAGTAGAAATCAATATATTTTATTGGGAAGAGAGATTTTTTAGGAATTGGGCGGGAAAAAGTTAAAATTCCAGGATTTTGTTTTTATATATAGTATAGATTAGAATAGGAATTGTATTACACTATTTTATTTATAATATTAGAATAGAATTTTAACGCAGAATTATTGTACGAATGGAAAAGTAGAAATCAATATATTTTATTGGGAAGAGAGATTTTTTAGGAATTGGGCGGGAAAAGTTAAAATTCCAGGATTTTGTTTTTATATATAGTATAGATTAGAATATGAATTGTATTACACTATTTTATTTATAATAATAGAATAGAATTTTAACGCAGAATTATTGTACGAATGGGAAAGTAGAAATCAATATATTTTATTGGGAATAGAGATTTTTTAGGAATTGGGCGGGAAAAGTTAAAATTTCAGGATTTTATTTTTATATATAGTATAGATAGTATAGATTAGAATAGGAATTGTATTACACTATTTTATTTATAATAATAGAATAGAATTTTAACGCAAAATTATTGTACGAATGCGAAAGTAGAAATCAATATATTTTATTGGGAAGAGAGATTTTATAGGAATTGGGCGGGAAAGGTTAAAATTCCAGGATTTTGTTTTTATATATAGTATAGAAGTATAGATATAGATTTTTTTTTTTGAAAGTGTATAGATATAGATTAATTCTACTAAATTTTACATATGTTGCTGCTGTTTCTTATGACTTCATTTAGAACAACCCAAGCATGTTTCAAACTCATTTGTCATTTTGTGTAAGATACCAAACTTGTTTAACAATTCTGAAAACAACTTTCTTAACTTTTTACGAATCTCAGAACACGCCTATCTACCAATATGGTTTCAAAATACATCCAAATAAATTGTTACACCATTAATAATTTAAACATGTAAGAAATTACATCATGTTATTACATAAATAATTAGGAAAAATGAAGATTTAAACTATAAGTCTATGTCAAAGTGTGTATCATTAAGAAAAACGATTATTTAAACTATAAGTCTATGCCAAAGTGTGTAATTTATGTGTGATTTACTGGGAAAGTTTGGTCCAAGAAGCAATCGTTATGTTGTGCATCCGTATGCACCATGCATGGTGCATACGGATGCCAAAACGACGTCGTTTTATTAAAAAACGTGCGTCTCCCCTTTAAAAAAAATTTAGGTTCGATATTGTTCATTTATTCTGGAATTTTAGTTTAAAGATTATGGAATTATAGTTCATTGATTATGGAATTATAGTTCATCGATTATGGAATTGTAGTTCATCGATTCTGAAATTTTAGTTTATAGATTATGGAATTTTAGTTCATTCATTCTGGAATTTTTAGTTCATAGATTAGATTATGGAATTATAGTTCATCGATTATGGAATTATAGTTCATCGATTATGGAATTTTAGTTCATATGTTGTTGCTGGGAATCGAACCTGATTTGTTTTTAAAGGGGAGACGCGCGTTTTATTAAAACGACGTCGTTTTTGCATCTGTATGCACCATGCATGCATGGTGCATACGGATGCACAACATAATTTGCCTCCAAGAAGAGTGAAGGAGATGTCTTATTGGACTTAAAGAAATTATATCGGCCCAAAAAAGTATTGGAGAGGTTTTGGATAGTTATGTTGTGCATCCGTATGCACGGATACAAAAACGACGTCGTTTTATTAAAAACGCGCGTCTCCCCTTAAAAAAAAATTCAGGTTCGATTCTCAGCAACAACATTATGTTGTTCATTCATTTTGGAATTTTAGTTCATAGATTATGGAATTTTAGTTCATTGATTATGGAATTATAGTTCATCGATTCTGGAATTGTAGTTCATCGATTCTGAAATTTTAGTTCATCGATTCTGAAATTTTAGTTCATTCATTCTGAAATTTTTAGTTCATAGATTAGATTCTGGAATTTTAGTTCATAGATTCTGGAATTATAGTTCATCGATTCTGGAATTATAGTTCATCGATTCTGGAATTTTAATTCATATGTTGTTGCTGGGAATCGAACCTGAATTTTTTTTTTTAAGGGGAGACGCGCGTTTTTAATAAAACGACGTCGTTTTTGCAGTGCATACGGATGCACAACATAATTTGCCAGAGGTTTTTGCCTAAGAAGAGTAAAAGTTGAAAATTATACTATGTGGCTTTGCTGGGGATTGAACAAACATTTAAACTATAAGTCTATGCCAAAGTGTGTATTTTATGTATGATTTATTGAGAAAGTTTGGCCCAATAAAAGCGAATGAGATGTCTTGATAAACTTAATGAAAGCATATCAGCCCAAATTCGTAGACCAACGTCTTATCTATTGGGCACATAGTTACTTGCAAAACTTTGCAAATAGTTTTAACATATGGTCAATCACAATAATTTATTTATTTTTTCTGAAAGGAGAATAAATGTTCTTACTTTAATTTACACTTAAAAAATATATGAATAGTAACTAGCTTGATTGGCTCATACACTCTCATATCTTAAGTGAAGTCGAGAGTTTGAAATGGAGATTAGTCCAAGTATACTACAAACTTAAAGATGTCTATTATAGTTAGGATTTGTTCATGACAACTCATGGTCTAACAAAAAAATCTAATTATTTTTTTAAAGTAGGGTTAATCATAATAAATTTTTACCATAGTCGACAAAACACACTCACTAATACTCCGTAACAATTAACTACAATGTACCGTTTTGTTTGCGGAAAATATTTGAGTGCAAATGGAATTGAAATTTCATGAAAAAAGAAATTATAAGAAGATTAATTTTATTGTTTGGTAAGTGAAAAAGAATCAACAGCAACAGATTGAGAAAAATTTAAACATGCTACAAGTGTAAGAGAATCACCGTCAGTGCACTTTTCTTGATTTTTTTTGATGAGTTGGAAGTGAGAGATGATGATTTGGAGGAGAGATGAGAGATAAGAAATTGAATTTGCACGAGAAATGATTTTTTTTTGTGGAACTAAAGAAGAGAGAGAAAAGGGAAAAAGTTTCCCATTCTCTATGCGTTGAGCGCACAAGGCACACGTATCGCACGCACCCTCTGGGCGCATAAATTTACATTTTTTTTTTTGCCTGACATCTCATTGTTTTTATTTTTTCCTTTTTTCCTTATTCTCTTTCCCTTATATCTCCTA